GATTAGAGGAAGAGAATTAGGTGAGAAAGGAATCGCAATTCTGTGAGAGAGGAATAATGTGGGAATTTAAGTTCTAGTGTTTGATTTGTAGAAATAGAATTACTGAGAATTTCAAAATTAAGATTTAAATAGAAAATTTAAATGAAAAGTAGTTTTTGTGTTTGAAATTCATTACCTGATCGAATTGAATAATAATTTCTACGTGTTAGCTATTCAATTTCTATCATGTTGCATATTCAATAATTGATACTGTCAACTACTTTGTGATATTCAAATCTATGACCTTTCGAATGGGGTTAACTCTAATACCATGAAGAAATTCTGAGAGTTAGCTCTAATACCATGGAGATAGGACAACAACTAGTACAATAGACTTAAATTTAGTTGACAATCTAATGCATATAATGAGAACAAGCTATTTTTTAAAGTACACATGTACAAAGACATGGAAAGTTTTATGGCATCTGAAGTTTGCTAAGTTTAAAGTTTCATTGCAATGTGAAAGATGTGACAAGTTTCTTGGTGCACTTGCTGATAAAGAAAATGATTTTGGTGGAGAGCATGAAGTTTGTTCATGTCTCATTATAAATATGCCTCTTTGCTTTTTCTTTTCTATCAAATTTTTTCATCAGTTCAGAGTTCAATTCGTATCACCTTACTAGTTATCTCTACCTGTTATTGTTGTTCCTTAACCAACAGACAATTAAGAATTAAACACAGTGGGTGACAAAGAATCATCTTTTTCTACCATCTCTTCAATGGAAATCGGTGACCCCTCCCAAGTCCAACCCCGGTACCCGCGACTAGAGCAAAGAACTTGCAAACAAAAAAAGTTATCTGAACAAGATAGCCACTTCTAAGAGCTAATGCAGTAAAGATTGTGTTTGCTTCATAAGAATATCCAACACTTTAGTCAAAGAAAAAACAACAAACCACTTTAACAATTACAATTAAAGAAAACAATTGAGAAAGCACTATTTTTAGATGCATTTGATTTGGGTGGAGTGAGCAAGCAACATTAGTTTTGAGTTTTCTTGTTAATAACATATCATATAACCTGTATCACCACCAACTAATAATCTAAAAATCAACTATAATTACAATGCTTTAAACATTCGTTTACAGATTTTTCCTAGGCTTGTGAGACTACATTTTACACCAAAACGTAAAGGAAATAGGTTATGTATCAATGCAAATTGCAACTAGTATGCTTATGGTACCGGTTTCCACCCCATCGTGTTAACTGGTTCCCGCAGTACTCAATACAGCTTTGCAAACCCTGCCCCCTTCCTTCCTGCCATGATTGCTCGACCACACATCTACACCCCTCATCATACAACCATGTCATCTCAAAACGAAATCCCCTCTTACCAGGTCCACTCCTCCCTAAGGACTCATGAATTCCCAGAAAGAGAGCTTAATGATCAGATTTTCGGGTTCTCAGATTCGTCACCCTGGCCCCCGCTACCATGTTGCGCCACTCATTTGTTACCAGGACCTTATCAAGCCTCTCCTCAATCCAATTTACTGTCCCCCTTCCCCTTCTCCCAAGTATACGGATATCCATTCATAGGCATCTGGGCAAGCCCACAGTCCTCAATAGCATCCCAAAAACCGCGTAGGAGGCTATTCGGATGCGGATTCCCCCCTCTCTTCTCATACTGATAAAGCAAATCATTGAAATCTCCTATAACAATCCATGGGAGATTCGATCTGTCTGACAACGTTCTCAAGAGATCCCACGACTCAGTGCGCCTTGTTCGTTCGAGGAAACCATAATAACACGTCATACGCCATCCTGGAAAACCGATAATAGTTACCTCAACATCAACATAGTTCGTTGAGTAACTGAATAGTCTTGCTGTACTATTCCTTTTCCATAACAATGCTAAACCACCACTCAACCCATGGTTATCAACATAAAACAGTCCTTCAAAGCCGATTTTGACACGAATCCGCTCAGCGTGATCGCGTCCCACCTTAGTCTCCATCAGAAATACAAAGTCGGGTTGCTTACGGGACACCATGTCCACAACTTCACGAACTGTCCGTGGATTACCCAAGCCACGGCAGTTCCAGCTGAGGGTACTCATTGGTTCGGGCGGGTCTGGGAACCAAAACCCGCCTGCTGCAAGTTTTTTGAAAGCTCGGCCATAACAACATCCCCCCACCAAAAGTCCGTCCACCATCACCCTCCTCCTCCCGGCGACGTTTGGCAACCGCAACCAACTCCGCCTCTACGGCGTTACTGGCCCGACTCCCACCATCCGACCACTGCCCCTCACCCGTGCGATCCACCAGCGTCCGCTGCGCCACTGCCGGCCGACCTGGCGGCAACAGCCAATTACCACCTACCGGCCTAGGGCCACGGTTTCCTCCTGCACGCAACTCCGGGCCAGACAAATATTCCTCAACCGGCATCTTCGAATCCCTCGCACCACGGCAGAATTTATAAGAATGCCCTAGCATTCCGCAAAAATAGCAATACGTATGTAGTCGTTCGTACTTGAACATGACCCAGCAATTTGTCTTGTCTCGCTTAATAAAGTTCATGCGTCTTTTCAAAGGCTTATCAACAGACAACAAAAACCTAATACGGTGAAACACCTTCCATGGAGCACTATTGAAACAATCATCACTTTTGACAAACTTCCCCAAGAAGTTTCCAATCTGCTCTAATATTCGACCGGACGAGTACCCCTTTGGCAATCCATGCAGCTGAACCCATAAGTCCACCGAATCCAGTACCACATCAACCGGCATCACCCCCTCGGGAACTTGTTTGCACATAAGGGTACTATTATCAAAGGACCAAAGCCCCTCGTTCAGAACACATTCCATATCTGTTACATGGTGGAAGACGAACAGGAATCGGCCAGGCACTACTTCCGTAACCTCAACACCACTCACCGGTTGCTGATAAAATAAAATGATTTTGGTGTAGAGCATGAAGTTATGACACCAAAAAAAGAACTTCAGAAGTCTGGAATTAACAAGAACAACACAATTATTGAAGAAAGAGGCAAGGAAAAGGCTTTTGGTGATGAGTGTTCTTTTGCTCTTGGACTTACAGACATTGGAAAATAGATGCAGATTAAGTTGCTTGATAGGTATGGTAATCTAATGTGCAGTTCTGTTCTGTTCTACCTTTCCTTCTCAAAGGTAGCATTGTGATTTTTGAGCTTATGTTCAATGTATTATTGATAGGAATTTGTTGACTCACAACATCCTTTATAAAGGAATTCGTGGGGACAATTTCGAGATAACTCGTATTTGATTCTCAAAGTTACAATTTTCCTTAGGCCAGCTCACGTACCTAGTGAACTCAAAACCGTGAGACACACGAAAATAGACCCGAAAGACTCTTCCTTGACCATGGTGGTGGGAGACGACATGGTTAAGGCCATCGCCTGGTACGACAATGAGTAGGGGGATACACGTATTTAAACCACATATTTAAGCTAATAGTGAGACTATATATGGTAATTAAATAAAATTTTTGAATAATATTTAAATTCACAAGAACATCTTTCAAAAAAAAAAAAAAATCACAAGAAAACATAAATAGAGATATAATACTCAATTCAATAAAAAAAAAAAAAATAGTTCTAAACTAACTGGTTAAAAGAAAAAAGTAAGATCAATCAAGAGATACTAGTTTTTGCTCTCATTTTGATCGCCTAATTAAGGACAGAGATTTTATTGAGTACAATTGATCAAGTGGAGTTCCTTAACAGCTAGGTATATGGTTGTGTAAATTAATATGTTCATATAGTAATCGACAAAAATAGGAGCATGATTGATCTAATCTAAGTTTTTAAAAAATATAATCTTCATATTATCAAAAATTAATTTCCTTTTAGTCACACACATATATATATATTGAAAACATTTAGTCACATAGATTTTAAAGACAACAATTTAATGAATTTCTTTATATGCTACTTAGTCCAGTAATATAATTTTCTAGTGGATTCATTTTTTATTTGCGATATCATAATCAAAATACTTATAGTACTTTGTAATTGATTTTAGTTAAAAATGTTAATTTGTGAAAGAGATTGAGGCCATGATGTAGAAATTGAGATTTGTAGGATAATGACACAACCATGATGTTGTATGTGAATGTCATTTTTAGAGTCGAGCTAAACTTCAGTAAGTGGGGAAGAAAGGATATAGATGTACTTTGAATGGCAACCTAACTCCAGAAAAAGATAGATGTACTTTGAATGACAACTCAATTCCAGAAAAAGAGTGACAAGTAATTGGCTGACAAATTTAATATATTATTTATTAGAGAAAATTTTAATTTTGATCTTATGATTATATGAGCTTTGTTAATTTCAGCACATGACTTTCAAAAGTGTCAATTTTATACCTTGACTATGTAATTTTTTTCAATTTTGATCGCTCCGGTCAAATTGTTGGTCAAATTTAGCCGAAAAACCTTAATCCAACATTTAGTCTATAATCTGAGGGACAAAATGATCTTTTGATACTTTCTCCTAATTGGTGATGACCTGATTCAACAACAATTGGGAACGCAATCTATTCCATCTCTCTAATTCACTTCATAAGCTCCCTCAACGAGTCTTACAGCTTGAACAGAGAAAATGTATGTCTCTTTCCTTGGGTCAAATGCATACCTCTACCACCATTATCTCTAATTATAATTTTAAGTTCTATATCTAAACTAGAAATTACTCTCATGATCATGATGATGAGAAAGTGAGGAAAAAAAAAAAAGGTAATAGAAATCAAAATTATTGTGTTTTTTTTTTCTTTTATTTCAATTTAAAAAGTATATGATTTTTAGATTAAAAAATTATTCAAAAAGCTTGTAAGTATAATTATTTTACCTTAAATATATATCACTTTTGAATTCTATTTTTCAAAGATTGTGAACCAAACACTCTTAAGTCTTAAGTAACTTTGATAATAACTCTATTGATATATAAACAGTCCCTATGAAAGAGTCAACGATACTGTGATCTATATCTTATCCCATCCCTGGAGTTAAAAAAAAAAAAAAAAAAAAAAAAAAACCAGACGGCTGTAATTAACGACATTTAACTGGTCTCGACGTGGTCAGCCCACGTGTCTAGTTGTGATTGGCGTATTCAGAGTTGAAGGACACCGTAAAACGTGTCGTCGCCAGAACCCGGATCCGCGACGCCGTGCGAAAGTACCAAATTCAGCTCAGCTGTCTTTCTCCATAGAAATCGAAAACCCTAAACCCCCAGAAGTCAAATCTGTTCAAGTCTGTTCTCCCAAGGACGCATTCTTCCTATTCCCCGATCGATACCTTTCATTTGATGGTAGTTCGGGAGGTTCCGTGCCGAAATCTGAGAAATGAGAGGGTTTCTCCTCTATCGGTTATTCATCTTCATCTTATGCTTAGCCCTCGCATTCGGAACTTCATTGGATTCTGAAGAATCTGATTCGGAAGCAGAGCTCGGCAGCAGCTCAGAACTCCCGGCCACCAATTTCCCGTTATCCCTCCCACCGTAATTACTTTACTTTGTCTTATGTTTCTTAATGTAGCAATTCAATTGACATGTACCTGAACCAGTTGGTTATTTTTTGTTTATCACCAAGTTTTTATTTTCTACTCATTAAAGAAAAAAGCTCATTTATCAAGCTGATGTGGGATTTTTTATTTTTCTTTTACATACTGTGAATTACATGAATTTTGGAAATGATCAATGATTCTATTTTTTTTTAGCTGATTTAGAATGTTCATTGTTGATTTGTTGATAGTTATACAGAAATTGACTCTTTTGTGATCTGTTATTTTATTTGTTTTAAATCAGTAAACCTGAAACAGCAATTGTGGTGACTCCAGATGGCATGATACATCTAATGAGTTCAGGAACAATCCTGTGGTCATTTCCGTCAGGTCCAGCTATATATTCTTCATTTCAAGATAACAACCTTGGCGGTTACCATAATTTGTCTACTGAGGGAGAAAACTTCCATATAGATATTGGAGAAGATGGGAAATTGTACCTATATGTGAATAACATAAAAAAAGAGGTATGTTAGACTGTTTCTTGTGTCTGCCCTACTTTTCATTCATGATTACTCAGTTGTTCTATGCTGAGAATTGAGATTGGTTTGGCTGAACACACATTTCGCTAATTGAATCAGGAGGTTTTTATGTTTTTATTTTCAAAGCATCCTAAGAATATGAGTTTTAATTAAAGATATGTAACTTATATTGCAGATTGCATGACTAGTGACTTACATTATGAGAATTGTTAAAGGACTTGAAAGTTATGTGTGCATGGCTCCATGCAAAATGTTCTATTTTACACTGTTTTGGATTCCTTCAATCCTTCATCTGTAAATACTTTTCACATTTCAGGAGCTCAGTGCTGATGAATTTCTGAAGCACACTCCATATACCTTAGCTGGTCGAGTCATGCTAGGATCAAAAAAGACCACTGCATTTCTTGTGGATTCTAACACTGGAAGAGTGATTCGTACATCTAAGTCAGATATGTTTGGGGACAAGGAGGTCGGTGAAAATCCAATTATGGCAAGGAATGATCTTGGAGATTTGACAATGCACATAATGAGAACGGACTATTCTTTTAAGTTCACATGTACAAAGACAGGGAAAGTTTCATGGTATCTGCACTTTGCTACGTTTGAAGTTTCATTGCAATCCGAAAGAGTTGACAAGTTCCTTGGTCCAACAATGCTACCTGTCCATATAATTCGAGATCCCAAAGTATTAGAATCATTTTTTATGTCACAAAACGCTCTTCCTGGAGTCGGATCTCTTTCTTTACCTCCTGCAGTTCATAATCTTGTAATCCCCAATGAAAAATGGGTCAAATTCCATCAGAACAATGAAGTTGCATCACAAAAGGCTCTTCCTGCTCCTTTGCTTGATGAATTTGCAATCATGAGTCTGCCTGCTGGAGATAATCAAGTGGTCATAGAATCAAATTTTTTATCAGGGTCTTTTTTCTGGTCTTTTGTTCTCTTTGGCACTTTGGTGCTACTCATTGTGGCTTTCCTTTTCTTTATGGCTTCTTCAGTAAAGGAGAAATGGTATAAGTTGCGAAATCAGGCTGTGGATAAAAAAATAGATGTTATGACACCAAAAAAGAAGAAACTTCGGAAGTCTGGAATTAACAAGAAAAGTCCAAATAGTGACAAAGGCAAGGAAAAGGTTTTTACTGATGAGTCTTCTTTTGCTCATGGACTTCCAGACAGTGGAAACACTGAAAACCAGATGCAGGTTAAGTTGCTTGATAGGTATTGTAATCTGGTAGATGGGCGCAAGATAGGTAAATTGTTTGTCTCTAACAAGGAAATTGCCAAGGGAAGCAATGGCACTGTCGTACTTGAGGGTATATATGATGGCCGTCCTGTTGCTGTTAAACGCCTTGTGCAAACCCATCATGATATAGCACTGAAGGAGATACAGAATCTTATTGCCTCTGATCACCACCCAAACATTGTGCGATGGTATGGAGTGGAGTACGATCAAGATTTTGTCTACCTTTCTCTTGAGCGCTGCACCTGTAGCTTATCTGATTTGGTTTCACGGTACTCTAACTCTTTTGAGATGAAAATTTATGGAAATGACCAAGATCCCATCTCTAGAAGTGATTTCGATCGACAAGGACAATGGGCATCTGACAATAATCACAATGTCAAGGATTTTGAGTTGTGGAAGGCCAATGGTTATCCTTCGCCGAAGTTGCTAAAACTGTTGAGGTTAGTTCAAAGTGGTAATCTCCTCTAAAAGTTCTTTTTGAAAAATTGGGTTTGTTCTGCATTATCAAAACATCATTCTATAGTTTATTCCAGAACTGGTGAAGTTTTTTGCAAAACTGATATTTTCTTTTCATGACTGTAAACTGCAGCGATATTGTTCATGGCCTTGCCCATTTGCATGAACTCGGTATTATTCATAGGGACTTGAAACCTCAAAATGTTCTAATTGTCAAAGAAAGACCAATGCGTGCAAAGATTTCAGATATGGGTATCAGTAAAAGCCTTGCTGGAGACATGTCTTCTTTAAGCAGAAGTGTTACCGGTAAGCAATCCGTTAGTGTCAGTGGCTTATTTCTTCATACTTAAACTTCATTACTTGATGAGGTATAATGCCAAGTTTTATGAAGGAACTGAAAATTTAGAATTGATAAAGCATCCCTCACTTGAATTTCCTTTCTCCTAGGCAGAATGTTTGGTAATTGTTTACCATAATTCCATAAACACAGAGGATTGCGATTTTCATGATTTTACCTTGTTTTGTGAAATTAGTTTGTCAAGCTTCTACATGGTTTTTTTTTCCTCTGTTGGGTTATTACTTGTAGATTTGGTTGTTCTTTGGGAAGATGATGTTATGCCCGTTTTTTAGGTTATGGGAGTTCGGGGTGGCAAGCACCGGAACAACTTCGTCATGAACGTCAAACACGTGCAGTCGACTTGTTTAGTTTAGGTTGTGTCCTGTTCTTTTGCATCACTGGTGGAAAACATCCATATGGTGAAGGTTTTGAACGTGATGTAAATATAGTTAATGATCGGAAAGACCTCTTCTTGATAGAGAATATTCCCGAAGCTACTGATCTCATATCTCGACTCCTACATCCAATTCCAATATCTAGGTAACATTTCATTGCTTTTTCTTGTTTTGGGAATTGTGCATTGAGGTTTTTAACTATTCTTCTACTTACATGGGTGCTGGATTGCGGTGTTTCTTTCTAATCATTGTATTTCATCATTTCATGCTTATATACATACTTGATATTGAATACAAAATGCTTCTTACGGTTCAGGCCAACTGCTATGGAGATTATAAATCACCCCTTGTTTTGGAAGCCCGAAACAAGGTTGGCTTTTCTTCGAGATGCTAGCGATAGGGTAGAATTAGAGGATAGAGAGGCTGACTCAGATATCTTGAAAGCATTAGAAAATATAAAAACCGAGGCTTTGGGTGGTCAATGGGATGCAAAACTGGACACTGCCTTCATCAACGACATTGGTCGCTATAGGCGATACAAGTTTGACAGCGTTAGAGACCTGTTACGGGTTATTAGAAACAAGCTAAACCACTACAGAGAACTGTCAAAGGAGATCCAGGAACTCCTGGGACAGGTTCCTGAAGGATTTGACAGCTATTTCTCAAGTCGGTTTCCCAGACTTGTAATGGAAGTTTACAACGTCATTCGGATATACTGTGGAGAAGAAGAAACCTTTAGAATATATTTCAAAAACAATCACATCTAACATTTTATTTGTGAGTGTATATATATGTTGCTGTATATATGTTGTAAATTGTTCTTATTATTGTAAGTTAAACACGTGCTCATTGTAATATTGATGTTTGATATAACACATGAATGAATTTTTAATAGCTCTGAATTTTTTCCTATGATAAAACAATCAGGTTACTTGTAAATTAATTAATTACAACTTGAGTAAAATAATGATTACATTTTTTAGGACTATTTAAATTTACATCCACATGTTACTACACATAAAAAAAAGACGTGGCCTTTGTTTGGTAAAATGGCTATTAGCTGATTGAGTTAATTAGAGAGTATAACTAGTTGATAACATTAGCTATTGTAGAAAGGTGTTTGGTAAATTAGCTGTTAGCTGATAGTTGTTTGGTATAATTTTTTTTTTTTTTCAAAAAGTTAAGTGAAAAAGTTGTTTTGACCAGTTTTTTGAATTTTAGCATTTCGGAGTTACAAAAAATTAATTAACCAGACACTTCTATTGATTTTTTAACCAAGTCAAACAATTAATAGTGATCAAAAAATCAAAATTACCTATAAACTAATTATTTTACCAAACAGGGTCATAGAGTAAAAAATTTAGAGTAAAAATAATTTGCAAAAAAGTTAACAACTCTAATTTATCAAAACTGCACACTTGTTTGGGCAGGAAATCAATGTCAAATTCCTACAAAGCAAGTTTATGGAGTTGCCCATTCCACTTTTTTTTTTTTTTTTTTTTTTTTTTTTTTTTTTTTTTGGTGTGGTCCAAGTTAATTAAGTGTTTTGCACGGTCAAGCTTATTAATTTTGAACTAATAGCAAGTTAAGTTGGGTGCTATGTCTCGATATTTTATGTGGTCTCTACTCTTTTCCTTGCAATAGCTAAGCGGCCTAAGCTATGATTATTTGACCTTTTTAACAATAGATCTCACAAGAAAGCTTAAGAAATGCTAAGAACTCATAAGTTTTACTCGGAACTCGAATTCTTTGATTGTTACAAAATGTGCTTCAATAAGAGGTGTTTATACCTATTTCGCCTCCTCAATAGACGATGGAGATATTTAATCTTACGGCTTAAGATTTTATCTCTAGTTGATTCTATGAATTTATACATCACTAGTGCTATGTACATGGTGGATCTGAAAAATTCTACAACCTTTGGGAAACTATGTACTATTGCGAAAAATGTCTAGAACAATGTAGTTAATCCCGAAAATGCATAGCAAAGTGAATTGGGTGCTACATCCTCCCCACTTAATTTGACGATGCCCTCGTCGCCTTGTGAGCCTTCAAACGGCATTGGAACTGCCACAAGTCTTCTTTGGGTTCTCATGTTACTTTCGATTCGGGCGGTTCTTTCCACTTAATGAGGTAGTGCCTTTGAGGCAAAACTCCCCTCTTACGAACTACCTTTGATGTGAGTATGTGACCACCTCCTCTATGCCATGATTGAAAGATTTGGTTATGACGAGTGGTGCTTTTTGTGATATCTCTCGGATTGGGTATTTCATGTCCTTATGATATGGCTTGAGCATACTCAAGTGGAAGATCGGCTAGATTTTGATGAGCTTGGTAGGTCAAGGGATATGAAACTTTGGATATCTTGCGACGATCGGGACTAAGATACATTCAGACTAGCCTTTATGTAAGTCTAGAAAGGCCTAGGCCTTGAATTGCTGTGGAAGAAATTTACTCAAGGCTAGATCTCCTTCAACTTGTTCTAAAGCGACAAATATTTCGAAGAGGGTTGGTATAAGTTTAAACCTGCAAATTACAATTTGTTAATTTATTAAGACCAAATCATACTATGAATGAAAAGTAATAAAATTAATGGGTTTAATACGTACCTTCCTAGTCTTATATTGTATTCTTTTTCACTTAAGAATTGCAAAGAGAATTTGAAATACTAAATAAAGTATCAGTAATTAGGATTATCACTACTCAGCGACATAGATTGAACACAGTTGTAAGATCCAAATTGATATAGCAAAGTATTACAATTATGTTGTTCAGATTTGAAGCTGAAAAGCTACTAGCATTCAAATAGTTTCTTACCCCTATTTAAATACATTCAAATCTGCTTAAAAAATAAAAACACTCAACTTCTGGCATAAAGATGTTGCTCTAATTTTTTCTATTCGTCATTTTATATTTCAGTACGTATTTTAAGTTGTTGATTGAATTTGATGAAGATATTACTGTAGTGGGATGAGATTATTCTATTTGATCACAATTAATGGAGATTATTATATTGGAACACAATTCACTGTTAGTTAACTGTGTAGAGTATTTTCCTAATGCAGCTGAGAATGGTTGAACATCATTGAAGGGTAATCCATAATTACATTTTTTAGGACTATTTAAATTTAAATCCACATGGTAGACATCTATCCACGTAAACCAATAATAAAAAATGTAGAGTAAAAATAATTTGCAAAAAAGTTAACAACTCTAATTCATCAAAACTGCACTATGTTGTTTGGGCAGGAAATCAACCTCATTTTTAATGGCTGATTCCTACAAATGCAAGTTTATGGGGTTGGTCTATTCCACCCCATATTTTGGATTGTTACAAAATGGGTCTCAATGAGGGGTATGTATACATATTACGCCTCTTTAATAGACGATGGAGATTGATTTAATCCTACGACTAAGATTCTATCTTTAGAATTATCTCTAAAACTGTATACGTTCTATAATGTTCTAGAAGATTCTATGAATTTATATATCATTAGTGCTATGTACATGGTGGTTCTGAAAAATTCTACAAGCTTTAAAAAACTATGTATTATTGCGAAAAATGTCTAAAACGATGTAGTTAATCTCGGAAATACATAGCAAAGTGGCTAGGGTGCTACATCCTCCCCCACTTAATTTGAGGATGCCCTCGTCGCCTTGTGAGCCTTCAAACGGTCTTGGAACTGCCATAAGTCTTTTTTGGGTCCTCATGTTACTTTCCATTCAAGCGGTTCCTTCCACTTGCGAACTACCTTTGATGTGACCACCTCCTTTATGCCATGATTGAAAGATTTGGTTACGACGAGTGGTGCTCTTTGTGATACCTCTCGGATTGGGTCTTTCATGTCCTTATATATGACTTGAGCATACTCATGTGGAAGATCGACTAAATTTTGACTGAGCTTGGTAGGTCGATGTGATATGAAACCTTGCATATGTTGGCGATGATGGGGAAAGGTCTAACATACATTCGGACTAGCCTTTATGTAAGTCTCAAAAGGCCTTGAATTGCTGTGGAAGAAATTTACTCAAGGCTAGATCCTCTATGACTTGTTATAAAGCGGCAACCTCCCTAGCCTTGCCTTGGTCACACATCTTCTTCCCTTGTTACGTTGGGACGAGCTCCCTCCTTCGTTCCTCAATTGTATAGAAAGCACAAACATTCTCTATATATATCGTCCATCGCAATAAACTAGCAACCTCAAATGTGAATAATGTGATTCTGATACTATCTGTCACAAGACGTCATTAGTGAGAACGAGTTTGTGACATATATGTCCCTTATCAACAATCTATTTAATTTAGAAATGTTTGATAACTCTTATGCTTCACATGATAGCTATTTGAAGCTAAAATGCTTTGAAATGGTTTCCTATACATAGAGGACTTGTTTTGAAGTTCCTAAATGAATAAATTCATTTAACCCTAATCCGATGTGTTACAAAGTCATTACGGACTGGTTTTTCTGGTGTTTGAGTTCTTTGGATAATGCTAAGTTGCCTTATTTTGTAATGGCTTGCTGGGCTATTTGGTCAAGGAGAAACGACAGTGTGTGGAATGGCATTGTGTTTAACTCGAGTCTGCTCATCCAAAGGGCTTTTAGTTTTTTTGGAGGGGTGGTTGAGTGCGAATGCGATGGGGACTGATCACGGTGTTGTTGATCCTGTTGTGCGCTGGATGAGGCCACGGCAAGGGTGGTATAAACTGAACTCGGATGCTTCCTTGGATCAAGGTACAAACCGTATGGGGTTAGGCTGGGTGATACGTGATGATCAGGGGAGGTTCATGGCTGCTAAGAATATGATTGTTGATGGTTTTTATCGGGTGAAGGAGGCCGAGGCCATGGGTCTACCGGGAGGCTTTGAGTTGGTTGAAAGGCACCGACATGGGAGGAGTGAAAATTGAAATGGATTCACAAGTACTTTTTCATGCCATTCGTTCTGCTACCTTTAATTCTGCTTTTGGTTTACTGGTAGATGATATTAAAAATTTAGCATCCGACATAGGAGATGTTGAATTTAATTGTGTTAGGCGGTCTGCGAATAGTGCAGCCCATACTCTTGCTAGGGCGGCCTTTTCTATGTCAGATTGCGGGGAGTGGTTAGATTCTCCACCTTCTTTTCTTGTAAACGTTCTTGAAGCTGATTTAATGAATTAATTCCTTCTTCTCAAAACCTTATCATGTTATAATATGATTTTTTATAAGTTTTTTTTTTGTTTTATTTTTTTAATTAATTACTTTGAGAGTTAAATTAATATGCATGTATTATTATCATGGTTGAAAAAATCGCTAGACTCTCTTCAGGCGCTCGGGGGCACCTAGGCGCCGATGCCCGTGGATTTTTTATTTTTAAAAAATTTGTTTAATTTTTTAAGACTTGATAATTATATACTATTTAATACTTTAATAGTTAATACTAAAATATTAAATATTAACCTAAAAATATCTAGAGTTTGAATAATTTAAGGTTATTTCATTTAAAACGATGTCGTTTTGAGTGAAATAACTCATTTAAAAAAGAATGGAACAATGGATAATCGGAAAACTAGGCAATTAACTTAGTCGGTGCCTAGGAGGCCTAGTCGGCTCCTAGAAGGCCTAGGCGGTCAACGCCTAGCCACCTAGACTACCAATTATGGTGATACACTAGGCGACCGGACAACGCCTAGCGCCTAGGCGTCGATTAATCGGTGCCTAGGCGGGATTTTTGCAACACTGATTATTATAGTTTTTGTGAATGAGCAAGAGTGAGTGAAAGTGTAAAGGCTTCAGTGTAAAGTTTAGAGGTAGTGTTAACATGAGTAGTGCCTTATGAAGTGGATGTTGTGCAAGAAGTAATTGCACATTATATTTTCTATCAATAAGGATTGGTGTACAAGTGATGAGTATCGATTATTTTGATCAATAATTATATGATAATCAGATAATATAATTGATTGCATTTTTCTTAATAATCGACTGTAATCGGTTGAAAAACACTGATATATATGGTAATATTAGGCTAAGTGAGGGTCCGATGAATACTTGAGATTATACATAGAGGTGGTGTTCAAGGTGTTAGGTGACGGAATGTGTAGGGTGAAAGTTGAGGAAAGCTTTTTTTTTTTTTTTGTTAATTAAATGAAAGTGATTGTACTTACAATAAGCTTTGTACTAAATATCTCTTCCATTTATTAATTAGATTAGAGAAAGCAACTTGAGACTGAAATTAAAGGGTATGTACATGCAACCTGGGATATGATCTCAGTTTTCATTATCCATTTTCACATTCTTTTACATATATTCCTTGATCCTAAATTATCAAGTTTCTTAGGTGGGTCTAGGATTTTTTTATTTTTTTATTTTTAAACATAAGATAATAGATCAAAAATAAACTTATTGGTTTTAGTTAGTTATTTCAGTTATTTAAAAATTGAATGCACCAAATCTAAACTTGGATAATCGCAATTCATTTGCATATTTTTTATTAAAAAAAAAGTGGAACACAAAATAACGAACTTTTAGATTTACGGAAAGCGCACAACCACTGCTTAACGGTAAGGTAAACCAAAATAGTTGACCGACTTAAATTAAGATGGAGCGTTATGCTGTGTAACCGTGTGCATCATAAAATCGATGTTGTTTTGATGTCCAACTTAAAAAAAAAAAAAATCAATTTCGATTGCCATTAACGGCGTTATGTTGTGCATAATTTGAATTATATAGTTCATTCATTCTTGATATATAGTTCATTCATTCTGGATATATAGTTCATTCATTCTGGATATATAGTTTAAATTATGCACAACATAACGCCGTTAACAGCAATCGAAACTGATTTTTTTTTTTAAGTCGGACGCGTCGTTTTTAATCAAAACGACGTCGTTTTTGCAACCGTGTGCACCATGTATGGTGCACACGGTTGCACGACATAATTTGCGAAGAAGCTAGGCAGTAGACAGATTTCACAAGAGTCGAAATTGAAATCTTGTAGTTGCTAAATTCACGATTTGACTAACTTGGCTTGAATTGTCCAAAAATAACAACTTTTATGAGTGTGATTCTAGTTTTTGGTCACATTATATTATATTTCAACTTTTAGTGGTTTTTTGTGTGTCTACAATCTAACGTGTAATATTTGTTCAACATATTAGGACTCTTATACTAGTAGTTCGTTAGGACTCTTTATCTACTCTCTATATTATTACTTGTACAGACTCAGTTACGATTGATATTCAATAATCAAATCCTCATCTGGTATCAGTTTCCAGGTTTATTCCATGGCAGCCTTGGGAGACAAAAATGACGGTTCTATTCGCGATTCTTCTGAACGGACTGTGTCCGAGGTTGCTCCCGTTCATCCCCACCCGGCTCCGAGTTTGTCTTCGGCACATCACTTTGTCTCGCTTAAGCTTACCGTCCACAATTATCTTTTTTGGAGGACTCAAATGCTTCCGTTCTTGGAGGGGCAGGGTCTCCTTGGTTATGTGGATGGTACGCACGCTTGTCCGACCGGTGCAGCACTGGTGGAGTCCACGGCGGAGAGCAGCGCTGCTACAGCGGCGTCGGGTTCGGCGTCGAAACAGTGGCGCCGGCAGGACAAGGCTATCTTGTCTCTTTTGATTTCGTCGCTGTCTGATGAGATGATGCATATGGCCGTTGGTCGGTCCACTTCCCGTGCCTTGTGGTTAGCCATCGAGCAGGAGCTCGGATCGGCGACTAGATCCCGTGCCTTGCGGCTTCTTGGCGAGTTGCAGGCGCTAACTCAGGGGGAGTCTTCTGTCTAGGACTATCTTGGCCGAGCGCGGATGCTTGTTGAGGACTTGGCGCTTGCTGGACGTCCGATCACGCTTGATGATCAAAATATTTATGTTTTTCGCGGGTTGCGGCCGGAGCTTCGTCCACTCGTTGCACCCTTGACGCGTGGCTCTCCGGTGACGTTGTCCGAGCTTTCGGACTATCTTACCTCTCAGGAATGGATTTGTGCGGCTGGCGGTGGTGGAGTTGGATCGCCGGCAGTTTTGGCTGTGAACCGCGGCCGTGGTGGCGGTCGCGTGCATGGCGGACAGAGTCGTGGTGGCTCGGGCAGTGGAGGCTCGGGTCGCGGTGGTGGCCGAGGCCGAGGAGGCCGGGGTCGGTCTGATGTGCGGTGTCAGATTTGTGATAAACAGGGGCATTCTGCGTTGAATTGCTATCGCAGGTATTCTGAGACACCCGGTCCTCAGGTTCACATGGCTTATTCCGGAGATATGGGTGGCTCGGTTGATTCTCATCAGTGGTTTCCTGACACGGGTGCCACGAACCATGCGACACCTGACTCCTCGGTGTTGACTTCCGCTGCTGGCTATGATGGTTCTGACACTCTCCGGGTTGGCAATGGTACAGGTATGACTATACTTAGTGTTGGTTCTGCTTCGATAGCCGCTTCTAATAAACTTTTTCGTTTAAATGATGTCTTGCATGTCCCTGGCTTGTCGTCGTCTTTACTTTCTGTTCAGCGTTTTGCTCGGGATAATCGTGTCTTTTTTGAGTTTCATTCTGAGTATTTTCTTGTGAAGGATCTCTTGACCAAGGAGGTGCTTTTTAAGGGGGGCGCGTCGGGAGGTTTATATACTTGGCCTGTTTCCTGTCGTAGTCCGTCTGCTAATGTTGCTGCGCGTGTCTCGTCTTCTACTTGGCACCAACGGCTTGGTCATCCACACACACAAGTTCTGCGTCAAATTTTACAATTGTTTGGTGTTAGTCAATTTAATTCTAGTGAATTGTCCAATGTTTGTTCGTCTTGTCAGTTAGGGAAATCTTCCCGTTTTCCATTACCTCGTGTAGCTACTTCGAGTACTCGTGTATTAGAACTCGTGTATACTGATATTTGGGGCCCTGCGCCAATAAAATCTGTTAATGGTTTTCGTTACTTCGTTTTGTTTGTGGATGATTTTACACGTTTTGTTTGGTTCTATCCTATGCGTGCCAAAACCGATATCTATGCTATCTTTGACCGTTTTCGCTCTCTTGTTGAGCGATCATTCTCTCACAAAATAATTGCAATTCAATCTGATTTAGGGGGAGAGTACAAAAAGCTCCACTCTACGTTTGAGTCTCTTGGTATTCGCCACAGGCAGTCCTGTGCGTATACGCACGAGCAGAATGGTCGGGTAGAGCGTCGCCATAGGCATATAGTTGAAACTGGGTTGGCATTAATGGCTCAGGCTTCTGTTCCCTCTAGATATTGGGATTTTGCGTTTGAAACGGCAGTCTATTTGATTAATAAGATGCTTACTCGGGTTTTAGACAATGAGTCTCCCCATTATCGTCTGCATCGGTCCCCTCCGTCTTATTCCTTTTTGCGAGTGTTTGGTTGTCTTTGTTTTCCTCTACTGCGTCCATATAATCGTAATAAACTGCAGTATCGTTCGTCTCCGTGTATTTTCTTGGGTTATCCTGACTCTTTCCGTGGCTATCGTTGTCTAGATACTGTCACTAATAAAGTCTTTATCTGTCGCCATGTGCGATTCGATGAGGCTGTTTTTCCATTTGCTAGTGGTGTTTCTACGCAGGTTGTTGCTAAGCCCGGGCTGTCCCGTGGGGTGTTGCCCCCGTTGTTGCTGTTCCTGCGCCGGTTTTGCCTGCTAGGGAGGAGCGGCCGGTTTCTACTCCCGTGGTTCCGGATTCGGATTCTAGTGAGCGGACTGTATCTGATTGTGGGCAGGTTGCCCGTCGTGGTCGGCCGCGTCGGGGTCGTGGTGCCAAGGTTGTTGGGCCGCGGTCTCATGTGATGGGCACACGGAGTATGGGCCCTAAGGATCATGTTGCTTTGTTCACTACTGCTGATGATCTTGAGCCCACGTGTTACTCGCAGGTCGTGCGCCATCCAGAGTGGCGTGAGGCCATGGATGTGGAGTTTAATGCTTTGCTACAGAACCATACATGGCGTCTTGTTCCTTACACTCCGGGTATGAATGTTGTGGGGTGTAAGTGGGTATTTCGGGTCAGTGAAATGCGGATGGATCTGTTGACCGTCACAAGGCCCGGCTGGTGGCTAAGGGTTTTAATCAGGTTGCCGGGAAAGACTTTTTTGAGACATTCAGTCCGGTTGTCAAGCCCACCACGGTTCGGCTTTTACTTTCCTTAGCTTACTCCCGTGGTTGGTCCATTCGGCAACTGGATGTTCACAATGCATTTCTGAATGGTTCTCTAGCTGAGACAGTGTATATGCGTCAGCCGCCTGGCTACGAGGACAAAACGAAACCGGATCATGTGTGCTTTCTGCAACGTTCTCTTTATGGTTTGAAGTAGGCCCCTCGTGCTTGGTTCACTCGGTTGCACGATTTTCTTTGTTCTGTTGGCTTTGTTCCTTCTAAAACTGACGTGTCATTATTTATCTATTCTGACGGTGCTGTGCAGTTGTATTTTTTGGTGTATGTTGATGACATTCTGGTCATGGGCTCGGACTCACAGCGGGTCTCAGGAATTGTGGCCAAGCTGGTTGCAGAGTTCAAGATTCGGGATATGGGGGCTCCGTCCTTTTTTCTTGGCATTGAGACTGTGCCGTTCTCGGATGGTGTTCTCCTCTCTCAGAGGCGTTATATCCAGGACATTCTTAAGCGGGCCGGCATGGTGGATTGCAAGCTGGTCTCGACCCCAGTTTCAGTTGTTCGGTCTGATGATGCTGACACCACTCCTTATGCCGATCCCACTCACTATCGCAGCATTGCGGGTGCCCTGCAGTACTTGACTGTGACTCGCCCTGATTTATCTTATGCAGTCAATAGGCTTTGTCAGCACATGCAGTCTCCTACCACGGCTGATTGGAGTCTGATGAAGCGGGTGTTACGGTATGTTAAGGGTACTCTTGGTCTTGGACTCAGTATTCGCAGGTCTCTGTCTACTGCTGTTCATGCTTTTTCTGACTCGGATTGGGCTGGCAATCCGGATGATAGGAAGTCAACCAGTGGCTTTGCGGTCTACGTGGGCACCAATCTGGTTTCCTGGTCATGCAGAAAGCAGCGCACGGTGGCGCGTTCGTCTACAGAAGCTGAATACAATGCTCTAGCTGATGTCTCAGCTGAGGTTACGTGGCTCGTTTCACTTCTTAAAGAGATTGGTTTTCCGCCGGCTTCTGCGCCAACTCTGTGGTGTGACAACTTGGGTGCCACCTACCTGTGCTCGAACCCGGTATTTCATGCCCGAACGAAGCATGTGGAGATTGATTATCATTTCGTTCGCGACAAGGTTGCAAAGAAGGAGATTCAGGTTCACTTTATTTCTACAAAGGATCAACTAGCAGATGTTTTCACCAAGGCTCTTCCGTCTACTCGGTTTTCTTTTCTACGGGGCAAACTCAATGTTGCAGCTGCTCCGTCTTGAGTTTGAGGGGGAGTATTAGGACTCTTATACTAGTAGTTCGTTAGGACTCTTTATCTACTCTCTATATTATTACTTGTACAGACTCAGTTACGATTGATATTCAATAATCAAATCCTCATCCAACATGATTATAGAACTTGAGACCTTCTATTTGGAATGGTAACAATAATGTCATCAAACCAAGTCACAATGTACTTGGTGATTTATCTGGTGTGTTGGAGACTAAAAAATAAATTTTTTAATTTTTGTGAATTGCAATAAGATATTTTTAAAAAAAAAATCTTTTGTATATTTGTATGATAAAAGGAAAAAAAAAAAGAAAAAAAGAAAAGCATGAAGATTAGAATTATTGTTAATGAAAGAAGCTTTTTCCAATAGCAAGAATCACTATGTAGAATTGAATTATATTATGAAACTCTTTATCTCAGACAAGTTGAAGTACAGTTATGATATATAACTCAAAATTCAATACATAAGTTAATTTGTTTTTCTAACTCTAAACTAAAACATGTACAATCATTCGCCTCGACTATCTTTCAATAAACTACTTATTGTCACTTCTTTCGATTACCGTTTAATACTTCAGTAATTGGAATTGGAATCGGAATCGAAATGGTATTAAATACTTGGTAATGGTAATGAGTTTTAGTAAAAGTATTTAACATGTTTGGTAATAGGGTAGAATGAGAATGGTTACTAATAGTAGTGCTTGAGAATGAATAAGAGAATGAAATCAAAATCTTTTTGCGTACCAAAAAGAAAGAAATTAAAAACCATTTTGTAAGTGTTAAGTTTTCCTCTCGCTAGTTTTCGCGAGTTTCGTCTTCTCCAAGTGTGAGATCTTCTCTGCTCTACACCACTTCTCTTCTGCTTCTTCCTTCCCTTCATCATGACGAATGCACATGCTTCATCGTCATACACCAATCTGGCCATGGCAGATCTAGACGATGAAGGCGTGGTGCACACTACACCAAATCAGGCATTTAGTGACGATTTTTTTTTTTTTTTTTTGCGTTTATCAGCGGTTCCAAACCGCCACTAGTGTGTTTAGCGGCGGTTATTCAACCGTGTCCAAATAGTGTATCGCGAAGCATTTAGCGGCGGTTTTCTACAACCGCGGGAATTAATGAAAAATTTATTTCGCGGCGATTTTGAATGCATTTAGCGGCAGTTTCGTAACCGCCGCTAAAATGAGGTAGTTTTCTTTTGCTTTTAGCGGCGGTTACAAAACCGCCTCTAAAATAAGACAGTTTTCTTTTTCCTTTTTCCTTCTAGCGGCGGTTTAGAATAAATTTTTTTTTTTCAAATTTTAGTGGCGGTTTTTAAATGTCGCTAAATTTTTTACTTTATTTATTTTTAAAAGAGTAAATACCCAAAATGGTCCCTCGACTATAGCTAAATTCACAAATTGGTCCTCGACTTTCAATTTCAACCAATTAAGTCCTTAACTTTGCAATTTTAACACGATTTGGTCCTCCGTCTATTTGACCGTTTGTTGACTGTGATTTTTGAGGATATATATGTAATTTCATGGTCCATTGTCGGTTTTTTAAGGTTCCGGTTGCATTTTCAGACCGCATTGTTACATTTGAATCCATTGCCGAAAGCAATCTGCCAAATCATGTCGCCTTCTTCATCCTCCCTTTGGATTCAATGTAGTTGAGTTCGTATCAGAGCGAAGAAGACAACGTGTTTCTGAACCGGTGCAGCGTCATTTTGGAGGCTTCCACGTGCGTAATAATCTCCACGCTAACCACCAGGGCGTTAGAGTTGGGGTGCACGTACAGGAGGTCACGTGCGAGATCGATCGAGATTAGGCCGGCGCTGCACCCCATGCCGGAGAGATTATAGCTTTTGATAGACAGATCGGCGAAATCCCTAGAGCGGCTCTACGAGAAAGCCGTGACTCCAAACAACGTCAACAAGCTGAACTGGCTCGTGATCCCTAAGCAGCAAGCGGAGAAGCACTTCCCCCTCCGAAACCGGAGAAACACTTCCCCCTCCGAAGCAGCGCCGTCACCTCCAAGAGCGCAACGTTCTCTTGAGCTTTGCACATGAAATTACATAAATATCCTCATAGATCACGGTCAACAAATGGTCAAATAGACGGGGGACCAAATCGTGTTAAAATTACAAAGTTAAGGACTTAATTGGTTGAAATTGAAAGTCAAGGACCAATTTGTGAATTTAGCTATAGTCGAGGGACCATTTTGGATATTTACTCTTTTTAAAATTTTTAGCGACGGTTATTAAATGTCACTAAATAATTTTTTGCTTGCATAATTAAGTGTAGCTAAATGTTTTATAATTATCATGTAATTATATTTCTTCAAAAATCTTTATATTGCAATCACAAATTAACTCTATGTACATATTAATTGGAAAGAAAATCAATTGTAACTAATATTTGTCAAATAATTGTAACAGAAACAAAGAATCTTTATATAGTAGAAGCTAATAGTTCTTAGAAAAAAGAGCAATATTAAATTTGTCCAATAGTCAAAATAACATAAGAATCACTTTAGATCTTCTTGCAGTTAACAAAGGCCAAAAAGAATTACGGCTTGAGTCCTAAACATGTAAGACCATTAATGTGCGAGACTCTATCTTTTTTTCCCCTTGATGTAATTAAATTAGTTAATCACCAAAAATGCATGACTCTAGCAGTATCTGACCTGGAATTATTATTTCTAACAGTCTTAGCATTTCCAAATGCTTCAGGTACCGGATTTGACTGCACGTCTGCACATACATCATAAAAAGTAAATTTAAGAGGGCAATAAGAAAAGTTTAGAGCTTGAAACTCCTTCCCCAAGGATAACAGTGCTTTGAATAAATATGAAAATGATTTTAAGATATTAGTAAACCATAACAATAAGTACATGTATGTATTCCACTAACTATTTAAAAATTTTGAGCTCTCACATCTCTTTATCAAGGCCTCTGGCGTCTTCTTGTTCATCATCTCAAAAATTAAACTTATTGTCACTAATTTGGTTCAAAAGTTACATTTCCACTGACATAAGCTCTTTTAGTGTAGATGCATATTTGTTACTTCATCTAATGAGATCACAATCACAAAATGTACTTTCCAAAATTTGTGCATATGAAGTTCATAATCAAAATGAAATAGGAAAAAAAAACTAATTCCACATTGATTTATTTCATTTAATCCTACCTAAAAACAACGTTTGGATTGTAGCTCTATTGCCTTTTTCTTGACCAGCATCCATCACGTTAGAATTACCATATTTAGTATATACGGAATATATAATAAGGCATAGTATATATGGTTACCTTTACTTTGAAACAAGGCAATGACATATGTTTTTCAAACACAGAAGACAATAAGTCTTTAAAATAACCGCAATGACTTTTGAATATGTAAGGCCAGAAAGAGATCATAAAACAGATAATCCACAAATGTGAATTGCTTTATATGTTGTGTTGTGTTGTTCCAACATTGAGAGAGAATCCACAAATTTCAAATAACCAGATAGGAATTAGCAAGATTTCAATGAGAACTAATCATAGATTTAATTATTATTATTATTATTATTATTAAATATAATAATAAAAAGGAAATAGATCAATTGCAGTAAATTAAAGAAAAGTAAAGAAGTAATGCTTGATCTGATATGACCACCACAAAATTGGTTTGGTGAGTTAGGGTTCAATTTTATTTATTTTTAACTTACTTCTTTGATTGATCATTTATTTTTGCATCTTAATCTTAATACCACAAAATTGGTTTGGTGAGTTAGGGTTCAATTTTATTTTTTTTTAACTTACTTCTTTGATTGATCATTTATTTTTGCATCTTAATCTTAATAATTAATTCGTTACGGCTCCATCTGTTGCATATTTAGGAAACAATATAAACAATAAGTGGTATTAGGCTAAGTGTTGGTGGGGAAAAGATTTCGTTGAGCAAATGTTCTCTTTCATAAAAAGCTATGTACGGAAATAGTAGAGAGTCTTAATTAAGATCTTTGAAAATCTATCAATATTAAAATCATGCAAAGAATTTTCTCCTTCCAAAACTTTTTAAATCTTTCAAATTGCAAGAAATCTTTCTTCATGGTATCAGAGCTGACCCTCAGAATTTCTTCAGGGTATCAGAGCTGACCCTCAGAATTTCTTCATTGTGTTAGAGCTGACCATCAGAATTTCTTCATTGTATCAGAGCTAACCCCATGCCAAAGGAAATAGATTCGAATCTCACTGTCACCCGATAAAAAAATAAATAAACAAATTTCGTTCGTCATTTGTAGCATTTGTAAACTCCTGTGTAAATAGCACGCGGACGCGGACGCGGAGGCAGAGGTGAAGATGGAGGCGGAGATGGAGGCAGATGTGATAATCCCTCGCCGCCGCCCCCGCCACCTCCTAATCCCCAACGAGTTTCGCTCAAAAAATTAAGGCTTATGGTTTTTTGCTCATATCCATTTGCACAATTGGCGTAGTGTCATTGTATAAGTCACACCCCTTCCTCAACTTTGTTTGTCTCGTTCTTTGTCCCGCTTTTCCCACCAGCTCCGCCGTTCCTCTTACGGCTTTTCGCAACCTCTTCCTTCCTCCTTTGAATTTTTCGAACTATGTCATTGCTCCAACCGGATTTCCCAACTACGCCGTTCCTCCTCTCGGATTTCCCAACTACGTCGTTCCTCCTCCCGGATTTCCCAACTACACTGTTCTCCTCCCAGATTTCCAAACTACGCCGTTCCTCCTCCGGCTTTTCCCAACTACGACATTCCTCCTCCGACTTATCCCAACAACTACGTTCCTTCTCCGGCTTTTTCCCAACCCCCTTCCTTCTCTCGTTCTTCCCTACGAGAATTCTCCTCCACACCAGCCTTACTTCAAGTGTGGTCATAAGTTTTTCCTATTCAGAACTGCACACCTCAAAATTGGTTTGGTGAGCTATGGTTCATTTTCATTTTCTTTTTTGTTTTTTTTGTTTTTTTGTTTTTTTTTAAAAAAAAATCTTCTTTAATTGA